TTGGGTCGGCTTTCGTGGCTTTTCAGCCACTCTGCAGACTGCCTATTGGACTCAGGCGTATGGTAATGGACCCACGTTTCATCCACCGTCACAAAACGTCGAAAAAAGTCCGCTCGATTACGCTGCAACAATGCCAAACCGACCGTTGAATCATCAACGCGCTGATGTTTTTGGTCAGCAAACGCAGCACCCATCATGCCGATAGCTTTTTCATCTCCAAAACATCGTGCAAAATGTATCCCACCCGTTCTTTTGAGATGCCCACGGCCTCAGTTAACTCGCGTAACTTCACTCAAAATGATTCGATGCACTTGCTTTGCGATTTTCGCATTCGTAGCCTCTTTTGGCCTTCCAGAGCGAGGTGCGTCTTCGGTGCTTGTACGACCCATTTTAAATTCACTAAACCACCGATAAACTGTTGTTCTCGAAGGAGCAGATGTGGGATAACATTTCTGCAACCATTTCAATGATTGTTCAGAAGTTTTTCCCATTAACAAACAATGTTTGATCAAGATGCGATATTCCTGTTTTTCCATTTTTTTTACGAAGGCGAAAGTAACGCCACTTAAACGACTGTAGCTTGTGAACGAATGAACGAAATGTTATGAAACTTTATACATAAACTAGTGACAGATGAATCTCTCGAAATGAATCATGTCCATTTTCTAGTGGCACCATCTATTGAAAAATCCCGGGACTTTTCAGCTCATGTAGTATATGTATAAGAAACATTTTATTAGAACAAATTCCCATCAAATATTTGATTAATATATTCAAAAATAATGTTACTTTTACAAATATTTAACAATAAGTATTACCAAATAATAAGTTTGGTAATATAATATTTATTAAACGTTTATAAAAGTAATATTATTTTTGGTTATATTAATCAAACATTTGATTGACATTATTTCATCGTGACATTATTACATTTAATAGTTACTACCAAAGATCTAAAAGGGTTAACCTGTACTCTGCTAAAAAAATGTGCACTAATGTACAATAATTGTTAATTATGATAATATAACACACTTTATTGATAGCATTACTATGGTATTGTTAATACAATACATTGTATTAATATTATTATATGTTATTTTATGTATTGCCATCTATTACGCGCAATATTGACAAGTATTGTTAATGTATTGTTATGTACTACTATGTATTGCTAGTATATTGCTAGCGTATTGCTAGTACTGCTACTGCTAATATTGCCTGTTTTATTATCGTACTATCGCAATATATTAAAAAAAAAATGTACTGATTGCCATAGCGGTTGACCTCTCGCCAGACTTTTTTTTTTTAGTGTACAATAAGGAATAATGAAGACTCATTATAAACGACCATGTACATCTATCCGAAAAACTTCCATGTCTAATAAATCAATAATGATCTCGGGACTTTATGATTTGAATAGCACAATATTGTTTACTTTACAAATATTAAGAGGATTCTAAAGCCGTTTGTATTATCAACTAATCATGATTTTTATTTAACAATTACTTTTTCCTCTTTTACAGATTCGGAAATCCTTTCCAGAATTAAAGTATATGCATTAATATTATATGTCTGTGAAGTGGAGTTTATGCCGAGAACGACAAAAAATTTATCTTTTCTTAAGAATTCAATTTCAAAATTTTCTGTTGCTTTTGACTCCATAGATACGTATTAATGCGTATACTTTAATCCTGGAAAAGTCCCCAGTAAATAAGAAACATTTTGAAACATTTTAGTAAATTGCAGCTATGTATATGTTACAACGTTGCTGCGCTGTTGCTGAAATGTTTCTTACTTACTGGGTCGAATCTGTAAAAGAGAAAAAAAGTAATTGTTATACAAAAAATACGACATTAATTTTGGAAAATCTTTTTTGTTAGGCCTTTGATCACAAATTCATTGTTTATGCGTTGTTTATTATACGCTTCCAGGAAAAGTATCATTTGATATGTACGACCTACAGAATTTTTATATTGAAGGCATTATAACCTGAGGTGACAGCCGTGAGAAGTGAAATAAAATGAACTTTTAATTTTTTCCCCGATTTTCTCGTCAAATTTAGTATGGCCGGTGTTTTTTTCATGTGTACTTTTATTGTGTAAAAAGATTTGATGATCTATAAAGCCAATTCGAAAAAATTGGCAATCTATTATTGTCAATACATAGATTTTTGAATGGTTCTGATTAGTTATATACCTCAATAGTTTTCAATAGTTTCAAGGAGCTATTGAAGACTATTGTGAAATATAACTATTCAGAGAACTATATATGTAATGTCATGTAGTATTATGGGACATCACTATTCATTACTGTTGAAACGAATAGTAATTATTTATCCATTTACTATTCATTATTATTAACAAGTACCATTATATATATTATATTGGGCGAATAGTAACTACAGGAATTTATCATTCATTATTACGTATTAGAATCATGAATAGTTTACTATTGAAACAAATAGTAAGTACAAGTAGTGATTACATCTTAGCGATTTTCATGAAAATTTAGTAATATTAGATGCCTTAAGAAAATTTACTTTTAACGAAGTTAAAGTTTTTAAAAGTAATTAAGAGTTTACTTAAAAAATTTTTAATTAATTTAAAGTGTGTGAAAGGTTAGGCCAAAATAACCTAAAATTTTTAAGTTTTTCAAAGATGACTTAAATACAATATAATCGGCACAGCGCGATAGTTTCTTTTGTCCTTAAGTAAATTTAATTTTAAAGTTATTATACTTTAAAAAAAAGATTACAGTGTTCAAATTTACCTTTATCTCTTAGACTTTCTCTACAGTAAATTTTAAGTAGTCTAAAATAAATTTTTTAAGTTTTTTAAAATAAATTTTCCCAAGAGATACACCAGGTCGCGAATATCTTGGATATTTTATCTTTAATATAAGAATATATAATGTATTATTTGAAACATCCAACTTTGACCGTTCTTCGCTTTCTTTATCTTATTTAATGTATTCATACATACGATTGTGTTTAAAATTTTTAAATGTTTATGCGGCCATATAATACGTTTTCTCTATACATATCAATTATTGCGAAGAATATTTTTGAAACCTCAGTAGTCGAGCTAGCTAAGACATTCTTTTCGGAAAGTTAAGAAGTCCCAGGTTCGAATTTTGGCTGAGGTAATATTTTTCGCAATAAGTTTTTTACTTTCTTTCTGTTTATTCTAATTTAGGGGGGTTATTAGCATTTCAGAATGATTGTATTGAAACCGAAAGTTTTTCGGCTCTCAATCATATCTGAAATAAATTAATTTAATATAAGAATATATAATGTATTATTTGAAACATCTATCTTTGATCATTTTTGGCTTTCTTTATCGTATTTGATGTATCACACATGCGATCGTGCTTAAAATTCTTAAATGTTTTTAAATATAAAATATTAAAACACAATAATTGATGTCAACTTGGTAAGGTCAACATTACATGGGTCCGTTTTGTTCAATTACGAATAGTTACTTTTAAAAACTATTCGCCAATAGTCGTAGTTACTATTTAATTACGTAGTTGCAAATAGTTACTTTTCAGAACTATTCGCTAATAGTTATTATTCAAATAACTATAGAAATTGAATAGTAACTACACAGAAATCTGAATAGTACACAATAGTTCTCAATAGTTCCTTTCTAGTATCTATTTATTTAATAGTACCTATTTATTTAATATGATAAATATCCCAAGTATATAAGTTTATGTAGATCAAACTTCGTAGCATATTGGAATATCGCGAAAACAGATACAGATCTTTTTACAACAGTTGGCGCTATTAATATCAATCGTTACAGAAATATAAAGTGCTCATATTACTTAAAGTGCTCATAACACCCGATTCTACTCTATATATGTATATAAATATATGTATATTTGTAATTTAATTATATTACTGTAAATAACTGTTTTTCGAAATTTTATTTGGATATAATTCCGAATGATCCCCGCTCGCGATTAACTTGAAATTTCGCGCATAAATTCAACTCAATATGAGAAATAAAAAACACATAGTCTTAACTTCGGGAAATGAAAAAAAAATTTTTTTGTTTTATGACTTTTCATTCAGATAGATTTGCTTTGCGTGGAAAGTCGTGTGCTCCTTGGAAGGGAGGAGATGGAAGTCGCTTCATATGGAAGTCGTGCGCCTCTAGTCAGGAGAGGGGAGGGATGGGGTGGAAATAGCTTCGCGTGGAAGTTGTGAGCCCCTAATGCCTAATTCAGACCAATCAGCGAAGCGATATTATAGCGTAAAAAATATCGGCTCGTTAGTTGATTGCTGCTCCGCTGTTTGATACTTGCTATGTCCGAAGTCTGAACTAAGCAGTCTGAACTAAGCATAAGCAGGAGGGAGATGCGATGGAAATTACTTCGCGTGGAAGTTGTACTCCCCTAAGCAGGTGGAATGAAGTGATTTTGTCTGGAAAGTCTTACGCTCCTTGGAGTGGGAGTTGCTTCGCGTGGAAAGTCGTATTTCCTTAATCAGTCCGAATTTTAGTCGATAAGTATTGTCACATAAAAAAAATCTTTTTTCTATTTCCCGAAATTGAGACTATAAGTTTTTCATTTCTTACACCAAAAACAACTTATATGTAAAATTTCAATCGCGAGCGGAAGTCAATCGGAACTATACCTTTTTATTTTTTTATGGATTTATTAACAGTTAGGGCTCGTACAGACGAGCGACTTTGTAATATCACAATTTCTGGCGCTACAGAAAAGCCGCGAATATCTTCATATGGGTCAATTTATAACGGGACAAGAAACATTGCGGATGCGTTTAGAGTGGTAAACAAAGAAGCACTGCAAATTCACCCATCTGAACGCATCCATAATGTTTTGTCACGCTATGAATTGGTCAATATGAACATATTCATGACATTTTTCTGTAGCACCAGAAAATAACTTCGTATAAACGGATTGGCGTTTTCAATTGTGGCACTACAAAGTCGTTCGTTTGTACGAACCTTTATCCAATAATAATGTTGCAGGTTCGGGAGGAGAAAATAGAAGATTCAAAATTGGCAAACCTTGGATTTCCTGTCTTGCAGATAATAAAAAAATCTGGAAGGAACAAGCAGTCCGAGGCATGTTATAAATGTTATCACAATTAAATTGAGATCATTTAATCAGTTGTAATCTTAGAGTTAATCATTTTTAGCAAAGAATTTTTAACATAATTATGAAAATTTTGTTTATACTTTAGCATTATACATGCAGTTTATTTATATAATTAATTTTTTAATAATAAGATTTTTAATAATAAGAAATATAACGGATTAATATTTTATCCGCAGATGCAGAAATCAAAGCACAAAAAGAACAAGAACAAAAGGCTAGCAACAATCGTGAAGACGGTGGGGCAGCACAATCTGCGGCCGAAGAATGAAAGATACACCGGACAATTATATTTTTTAAGAATCTCTGCAACTTTAGATTACGAGGAAGTTTGTGATCACATTAGGTGGCATCTATCATAAATTTACGAACTTCTTATTACGCTTACAAATGATAGCCAAGCGTCATTCGGTAGTACAAATGGATACACGAATATGAGTGGTTATGGCGATGTACACAAAAATACACATACACAAGTTATGTTGGGGAATACTTTGTTTGAATTGATACCAAAGACTCAAATTATGTATTTATCCCGCTATTTCTGTAGAATATTCAGATAATATATTTTAACTGATTGTTTTCTACAGTTTCATATATTGCTTGATCTCATACATTAGTTACAGTGCTCCTCAAGATAATCGTCGCTATTGCAATTAGATTAGACATGTCTTGTCAATTTTAAAGGGTTTTTAAGAACTTTTTGTAAAAGTTTCTAATTTTTAAGTGAGATATTTTTTATATCAATGATTTAATATCTTATTTTAAATTGTTTAAATAAATATAAATAAGTAAATATGTAATACATAATACAATATGTATACGGTAGAAAAATCGATAAAAGAACAACATAAACTATAAATCCCAAATTATGTTGCAATTATTTTGCACAAGAATGTGAATTATTTGTTTCACTATTTTTAATTATACGGTGCAAGAATTGATATATAATAATACAATCTAAAGTTACTACAATATACTTACAAGTATATTGCAAAAGGTGTACACTTTTTAAAAAGAATGAGCATCCTCAAAACACAAGCATGCAGAGTGTCAAAAGAAAAAAACTTATTTATAATTGTTGATATCAATAAATTTAAAGATTCTATTCTATTTGTTAGAAGACTATTTCAAATCATATTTGCTTTTTTTCAATGCTATGTAAGTAAATGTTATTTAATTAATCGAGTGAGATTTGCTGTCCAGTTTGTTGATATCAAATGATATAATTAAATCGTGTATCTTCTAAAGAGCAAAAAATATATTTAAATTATTTTAGGAGTTTAAATAGTAAACAATATTTTTTTTCAAAACTTAAAAAAAATTTAATGGCAAAGATGTAGTATATGGAATGTTTGACATGTATAATGTTACAATCGTAATTCATAATCTATCTTCTCCTACTTCTATTTATACTATATATATTTTTTAATCAATATTATAATCGATGGTGATTATAATATTGGTTCAAGATGTAAAATTTATTTATTTTAGATAAAAATCAGAACGTAACAGTTTTTTGCTATTAATTACTAATACATGCCACACAAAAATATGAATATTAAGATAGAATCACACGACTCCATCTTTACACAAGATATTGAATTTTTCTCATAATCTATTTTTCTTATAATCTATTTATTTTTATTAACAAAAAAGAGATTCTTTGCATATAATATGGAACATGGAGTTTTCAATCCGATCTTTGCAAATGTAGAGTGCAAAATATTGTTTATGACAGATACTTGAAGATTTGGAAGCGTTGATTCCTCTCACATGTTTATTAATTATTCACGGCGAAAAGAGGAGCAAAGTATTCTTGTACATTTGTTAGATATATACACGTATACACATACTGATTCATTGCTTTAATGTATGTGTATCTAATGTATAAAAAAAAAACAAATAACAAGATATGGCTACTATTTTATCAATGTACACGTATGATATATATTCCGTATACATATATGTACATATATACATATATGTACATATTATACGTATGTATTATGTATATATACAAAAAAAGGAAAAAGGAAAGATTATTTTGTTGAACTCCTTGCAATATCGAGATTGTAGAATATATATGTTAACGCATATTAGCAACGTACATGTCTGTATTTAAGTTTGTAATTAATAATCCATGAACGAGTGCGCATTATAAAACGCATAAATCTTGATATAATGATGGACAGTTGCCATTGTATCAGTGCATCATTATCCTACGTTATACGCGTAAAGGAATTGGAAACATCGGTGCAATAAAAGATTGATAACTTTTTATCTCTTTTTTACTTCTTATTAAGCAGAGAAAATATTGCTGCTATTATAAATTTTATTTCACGATTTATAAATGTGTATAAATATATTATTTTCAACACATTCGCATGTTACAAAAAATATTGTCTAATATATACACGCTGATTTTAATGAAGTTTCTTTGCTTAGAGTACAAAATGCCCATTTTATTGACAATCGTCAATATTTGATAAGGAATATATATATGTTTATAGAAAATTGATGAAAATAAAAAAATAGAAAATTACACTGTGAGGTTTGTTTTAGAAATTCTTAGTTTTTCGTAGATATTCGTAGTGGGTCATATAGTGGCATTGTTTGAGGGCAGAGGATTTTCTAGATTTTTCAAACAAACAACACGGCTTTTCAACCCATTACGAATATTTATAAAAAAACTAATAATTTCTAAAATCTTATCTCTATGTAGTTTTTCGTAAAAGTTTTTCCGCTAGGGTATATATACATTACAATCGGATTATATTAAATAAAAAACGAATATGAAATTGACAAATACAATATGGTAACAATATCATAATCTTCATTTGACAATCATTATATTTTGTCAAAATTTTATATTCTTTTTTAATTTACATGTACTAAAGCACTTACTTTCCACATAACGCAATATCCCAGACAACACAATGTTTATAAAATATTTACAAATATTTATAAATGTTTATAAGGCTTACTTTTAATAATTTGTAAATAATTTTGTTTAGTCTTAGATAGATTAGCATAGATCAAACATTTATTATAAACATTTATTATAAATATTATGAAATATTTAATATAAATCTTGTAGCGAATTCTATGAAAATACTTGATAAGCCATTATGATTTAAATAAAAAATATTTAATAGAAATATTTATTTATACTTGCCATAAATATTACATTAAATAATAAGTCTATCTTTTAATAATATTTCGAATGAAGCTTTATATAAAATATGTATAAAATATTTATATAACATTTCAAAAAATGAATAATAATAAATATTTATCATAAATATTCTATGCTGTCTGAGATCAAGATAGAATAAAAAGCCTTTCCATTATTTGAAAAGAGAAGAGAATTATTTTCAAATTGCTATATTTTAAAAATGAAATATTATATCGAAATTAAATAAAATTCATTTTAAAGTTAAAAGTTGATATTTTCGCGTGACATTAACAAAATTTAGAAAAGTTTTTATCAATGCTATATGACGTCATAAAAACCTTCAAAGGTATCATTTTTATCTCTTTAATGTTTGTTTTTCTCAAAATTGTGATATGATAGCCAATTTGAACACCATATTCGTATTCCGCAAGTTTTTGAAAATACATCGAAAATGACCATTTATACTTATGTGGCAAAATAATGTTGGACATTATAATGTTTTCATAATTTCAGAAATATCAAAGGATTCACGAGTTATCGCCGTGTCGTGATTCATTGCTAATGCAAACATTGCCAACATTGTTTTATGAACTTTATCGTTCACTTCATCAGAGCATCATTATTTTTTATATTTTTTTCAATTTTCCATAAACATTTCTATTTTCTCTATTAAATATTATTGATAAAACATTCATTATTATTCATCATTTGCAAGTAATAGAATTTTAATAAAAGAATCTCATCAAATGTAATTTTTCATCAAATAGTAATTTCATCAAAATTAGCGTGTATATTGGGTAGTGTTCCTTATTAATAATTTGTGCTATATTAAGTAATTTGTAATAAAAAAGTAGTAATTTACCTTTTCCACAATCATTATATTATACAAGAGAACGTTTTAATTGAATAATTCTTATTTGTTTATTAAATTTATAACAAATGATAAAAGAAATGAAAGTATTTACCGAAATTGAATCTGATTCTGTGTACGTGGCAATAATTTGAAATAAAACTCTATAGAAAACATGTTATATATATGTATATCTATAACACAGTGTAATAATCACATAATCTCTTGTAGACAGGTAGAGTGAATTAAACTGAATTGAAAAGTCTCCTACTATTTTGCAATTTTTGCAATTTTCATTAATAAGATATTAATTTCTATAAAAACTATCAAATAAGGATAAAATCGACGCATATAATAAGAGAAGTTTAGGATATTTTTCAGAATTCTTTTTGAAATATCATAAAGATGTTTCTTAAGAGCTCTTAAGAATGTTTTAAAGTTGTCTTATGTCGATTTTAGACATTCTGCTTATTAGGTAACTAAAAAAAATTGCGAAAATTGCAAAATGGTAGAGGACTTTTCGACTCAGTTTAGTTTGCTCTATTAGCTTACAAGAGATTATGCAGTCATTATCATACATACACATCATTCGTCAACAAAATTATTGTATAGATAAATTTATAACAAAATTTCGCATAAATAAGCATAACTTCGCGAAAAATGGTTGCATTTGAAAAAGTTTTTTTTTAATTTTCAAAGGTAAAATCTGTACTTTACGAAGCTTTCAATGGATTTTGAATCTATTCTTGCCTCTATCTGGCATCTTTTCAAAAATAAGGACGTGTTTTTTTTTTAAATTTGCATAGTTTGATGCATTTTACGGGGTGGAGTAAATTTTTCTCGTAAATTTCACGATATCATCATAAAGTACGGATTTTTCTCTTACAAATTAAAAAAAAATTAAGCTTTATATTGTATGATTTTTTTTGAGAAGATACGATATATCAAACTTATCTATACATTTTGTTCAATTACCGCTAGCATTAGCATTACCCTATGCGCATCACGCAGAGATTGCTAATCTGATTTTGTGTATGCGCGCGTGTGTGTGTGAGGGTGGAGATATGTGAAAGTATATTACTCTTTAAAATTGTGTATTTCCTCCTCGTCTTCGGATGATCTCTTGTAAACATGTACTCATGCAAGCTCTCTAATCGAAGTCTGAGGAATTTCGTATTATATTCGATGCAATACTGAGTGCTTTCCAATTGCAATATCCCTAGACACTTTTGTGCACACGGCAACACAAGTTGCGTTCTAATTATCCGTTATTGTCGACACAACACTACACATCTGTACTCAGTCGAGTGCTGTGTAAACTTGTGTTTTCTAGTGACGATTACATGTTACTGACTGCGGCGATTAATATAAATGAGATTGGAAGACGTGACCAGCATTTTTACTTAATATAGGTGGAAAAAGCTACATTTAATCTAACTCTGTCCGAAACGGATCTCAACCG